TCCAGAATACATTGGTAATAATAAATATTTCATCATTTGTTTATTTTTATTATCTTGTTGTTGTTGTCTTTGAAGTTCAAATTTATCATCCAATGTTTGAATCATTCTTTCAATTTCTTCTTGACCAGTTAGAAATACTAAAATATCACCAGGTGGTTGAGTTAAATGAATATCAATAATGGTTTGTAATGTTTGTTGTATATAATTTGAAGTTGGTTCTTCAAGATAGTGTATATCGACAGGATAGGTTCTACCTTCAATTGAAAGAATTGTTGAGGTATCTTTTGATTTGTCATTGGTTTGATTGTAATTAAAAAAGTTGAAAAAATCTTGAGCATTTAAAGTAGCCGATGAAACTATTAATTTCAAGGTATCATTATTATTATTATTATTTTCACCAGAGGAATTCCTTTTTTTTTGAACTTTTTTTAATAATCCCATTAGAATATCAGTTTGTAATGAACGTTCATGTGCTTCATCTATCATAATTACAGAGTATTTCAAAAGTAATGGATCTAACATCATCTCTCTAATTAACATACCGTCTGTCATATACTTTATACGAGTTTCGATATCTGATATTTTTTCATCGAATCTAACACTATATCCAACAGTTTTACCAACTTGTTGTTCACCTAATTCCTGTGCAACCCTTTCTGCCAATGAAATTGCTGCAACTCTTCTTGGTTGAGTGCAAAGTACCGTTCTAAATCCATCAGCCCAACCACTTTCAAATAGATATTGAGGAATTTGTGTTGATTTACCACATCCTGTATTACCAATGATTACTAATGTACTATATTTCTCTAATAAATATAATATATGTTTACGATTTTGATAAATTGGTAATGATATTCTTTGTTGTTGAATAGTTAATTTTTGATTACTGTTATAAATGAAATTTTCATTTCCAAATGACGATGATGATGATGACGAATCTTTGTCAAATAATGTAGTAGTATTATTACTATTTGCTTGATTATTTGTTGTCATTTTATCATTTTTTTTTTTGATTGAAAAAATTTCGGTTGTTAAAAAAAAAAAAAAAAAAAAAAAATTTATAAAAAAAAAAGGATGAATTTGTTTTTTTTTATTTAAAATTAGATATAATATTTTAAATTGTTTTATTTGAGAAGTTTTTTTTTTTTTATGTATTTATTTTTTTATTTTTAAATTTTTTTTTTAAATATTTTTTTGGATTTCACCATCTTGATTCAAAGAAAAAGTTAAAGGTTTCCATTTTCTAATAACATCTGGTGCGTATGCGATTGATTCTAATTCAGGTTTTAAAATAGAACTTGTTTCTGGGCCATATTTAACACCTTGTGACTCTAATTGTTCAAGGAATGATTCAAATTCTCTTTTAGAGGTAGCTGATGATTTATAAAAACCTTCAATATCAAATACTCTTTGATGACCTTGTTCAGACCATTCTTTTTTTAATCTTTTATTATTTTGGTAAAAAAAAAAAGAAATTAAAAATTTTTTATGTTATTAATCACGATAAATTATAAAATTTTTTTTTTTTTTTTTTTTTTTTTTTTTTTTTCAAAATATATAATTATTTTGAATACATACTTTGATAAATCGATATGTGGTAAATCTTTTTTGAAATCAAAATTAAATTTCAAAGATGATTCTAATGGATTTTCAAATAATTCATCCAATTGAGATTGTTCCTCTTTCATATCTAATTGTTGATAGAGTTTTGAAAGATTTGTAGCACAACCTTGAACCATTTCATTATTTCTACCTAATGATTTCTCTAACATTGTGAATGCTTTTTGACAGTGTGGTAATGCCTCTTTATATTTTCCTTCGATTGAAAGGTAACTTGATAAATTTAATAATGCTAATCCAATTCTATCATCGACTAAATATTCTTTTGTACTAAAATTATTATTTTTTTTTATAAAATTTGTTAACAGACTTTTAATTTTTGAAAAAAAAAAAAACCAATAAAACAATAACAAAACTTACTCTTCAAAAATAGAAATTGCTTTTTTACAAGTTTCAATTGCTTTTAAGTTATCTTGTAATAAAGAGAATAATTCAGAGAGATGCAATAAAGTGTTACCATAGAAAGGAACGTCCTCTTGAGATTCCAAGTAACTCAATGATTTAGTGTAATTTTTGATAGAATCAACAAATAAACCTTTAACATGATGAACATAAGCTAAATTTGAGAGTAAATAACCGATACATTGATGAGTGGTGATACCTAATTCAGAGGTTCTCAATGGCATCGAGTCTTGATTGCTACTTTCATATAAAGAGATACCACCGATTAATATGGTCTCTGCATCATCGAATCTACCTTCACCAATCAATTGATTGGCTTTATTATTTAAATAAATACATTTCAATAATGGTGTTACATTCTTACTTTCAAATTGTTCCAATTTAATTTTCTCTGGTTGTGGTGTATAAAATTCTGATATCTTTTTTGTAACTTCTTTAATATTTTTTCTTCATTGTTTGTAAAAAAAATATATGTATATGTATATATATATATTAGTATTATCTCTTTATAATTGCTAATTCACATTATGTATCAAAACATAACAACTATAAGAGTTACTACCATCACCACCTTATTAAGGTTGGACTTACTCTACAATGAAATTAGCACCTGTTATTTGTAAATCTATATCATCTTGATCAACTTCAGTTTTTTCAGTTTCATAATAACTTTCATCTGATTCACTTATATCATTATCTGATGATGAGGATGATGTTGAGAAACCTCTTTTATTGATGATCAAATTTGATGATAAAGTTGGTTTTAATGATGCTGTACTTCCAATGAATCCATTTAATTTAGAGATTGATTTTCTAATTGTAATACATCCATTAATTAAATTCATTTTTATTTTTATTTTTACCAATCAAATAAATAAATAAAAAAATAAATGTGCTATGAGTATGAGTGAAAATGCAGAAAAAAAAAAAAAAAAAAAAAAAAAAAAAAAAAAAAAAAAAAAAATAGTTTTTTTGAAAAACGAAAACAGTGAATTAATTTTTTTTTTTTTTTTGGATTTATTATGTAATAAAAAAAAATATAAGAGATCTCTATAATAGTGTAATCACTACAAAGATAAAAGATAAAACAAATTTATATTTTATCAAATCTGCAACCAAATATTATTTTTGAAAAAAATAGAATAAAAAAAATAATTGAAAGCCATAAATATAACTTTATTTTAATTTTTTTAATCAAAAAAAAAAAAATTAGTAATATAATTTATTGTATAATAAATTGTATAAAAATAAATAATATAGTTTATTGTATAAAAATAAATAATTTAGTTTATTGTATAAAAATAAATAATATAGTTTTATTTTATTTTATTTTATTTTAATTTTTTAATCAAAAAAAAAAAAAAAAAAAAATGGACACTTTTGAGAGTTTTTGGATTTTGGGCACTTTCCTTTTTTTTTTTTTTTTTGTGTTCAAAATCAAAAAACCTACTTTCATTTATAAAAATCAATTGCCAATTACCAATGGCTAAATAAGTATTACCTGATGGTTTGGGTGGATATAATCTATAGTGTAAATTTATTAATTAGTTTTTTTTACCTCCCAATACTCTCGAAGAGGTTGCAATTTTCGGTTGTTCTTTGTAATAATAGTTATTAGTGTTATTAATATTCATATTACTATTAAAACTATTATTACTATTTAAACTAATATTAAAATTATTATTTATATTATTTATATTATTATTTGTAAAACCACTATAACCACTATTACTATTAAGATCAGGAATTGAAGAATCATAAAATAAAATATTTTCTAGTAATAAAACTTTTGAGTCTTGAGTAAATCCTAAATTATAAGAGCCCTGTGGCAATGGAGGTGTTTGAAATGATATTTTCCTACCAGCGTTTGAAATTTCTATATTTTGTAATTGTATAACATTGCCACTATCAGAGTCAATATTAACCTTTAAAATATTACTCTTTACTGGATGTTTAAATTGTACGCTAACTTTAGTGCCACTCAAAGGTGATACGGTCGGATGAATCATTTCAACAACTATATCATCAAATGTTTCACCAGTTGAACCAATCTCCTTACTCATTAATATTGAAAATGAATCATTTTGAGGTTGACTATTACCATTACTATTATTAAAAGATCTCAAACTAGGAGATGCTGTTTTTGGTGACGAATTTAAGCTATTGTTATAACTACTATTTCTACTATGGGTTCTACTATTGCTTTTAATTTCATTGTTATTATTTACATTGCTAAAATTATTATTAACATTATTTTGATTATTTTGATTATTTTGATTATTTTGATTATTATGATTATTTTGATTATTTTGATTATTTTGATTATTTTGATTATTTTGATTATTTTTACCAATTGTTTTATTTGAATCAGAAGAATTATTTAATAAAGGAGAAGTTGTTGATTTTTGAAACATATCAAGAGCATAATCATTTACGTTTGAAATATCGTCTTCAGTTTGAAAACAAGAGTTTGTAAAGAATAAGAACTGTTTTGTGAGTGTAAGATCACCATCACTGATTATTAATTCAACTTCACCTTCATTTGGTTGTGAAGGACTTAGAAACATGATTGCATTAACATTCTGTTTGAAAGGTTTTATATTAAGCTGACCTACAGTAATTTCAATTGATTTCTTATTTAGATTATCGCCAGTTATTGTAACGAAACAACCACTTTGAGGGCAAACCGCTGGTACAACTGATACAATTGAACTTCTATTATCAATTTCATCCATTAAAATATCCCTTAGTAATAGATAGACATCTGGTTTACTTCTCATTTCCATTGGAACTGCATATCCACGTATTCTAACCTCATCATTCAATTCTTTTAATGTCAAAGTTGATAATAATTTACCATCAACTAATATCTGACCATCCTCTGAATATTTAGACTCACTTGGTTTTGTAATTGGTTTATATTCTTGTTTAGTAATTGGTTGCTGTTGTGAGGGTGGTTTTTTATCGCTTAATAAATTTGAAAATGATGAAAAAATACTTGATAATATTGGTGTTGGACTTGATGATAATGTATTATTGTTTACTGATTCAATAATTGGACTTTCATTACCACTATTATTATTGTTGTTTGAATTATAATTTATACTTTTTTTATTATTATTATTACCAATTTCTCTATTGTAAATTTCTCTATTTAAAATATCTATTAATTGTTTTAAAACTTCATGTTTTGATCTAGAGTCACCTAAAGGTACTGAGGAACCACGATTTTTAATTTCTTCATTTATATCTTTAAGTGAAAGGGAGTTTAATAACTCTTGATTAATCTCTAACTCACCAGTTGATTGATTTGGTATTATTAGTTGTGATTTGTTTGATTTTATTGTTGAACTCGTAGTATCGATTGTTATTAATAACTTTTGATTGAATTGATTAGAGGTTAATTTAAACTCAGGTATTGAAGTTTGTAAATAGGTTGCAAAACTATGTTTGATATTATTGATAACTTGATTCTGTTTTGGTGTTGAACCTTGTAACTGCTTCAATTGTTTAATACCACTCTCCAACTCTTTTATTGACATTGCTATTGTTTGTTCCAATGATTTCGTTTTTGAAACTGATGGTGAGGCATTGTTTTGAATTTGTGATACTAATGATTTATATGTTGGTATATACTTTTTACAATCTAATATATTTAATTGCATTTGTTCATAGAATTGAACGAAATCGGAGTTCATTGATTTCTCACTTAACCTATTGAATTCAAATCTTGTGATTATAATCTTTAATGATGAGAAACAAACATTACATGTTATCACTGAATTAGGTTGCTGTTGTTGATGTGATTGTATTGAGTTGTTACTACTCTCCTTTGATTGTATGTTTAAAGATGAAAGAGGCACTGGATTGTTATTACAATTTGAACACACTATAGAATTACAAACTAAACATTTTTGCCTTTTATTAAAGATTTTACCAAACTTACTACCGCATATACAACAATTTTGTACCATTCTACTGATTTCTTGTGAATCCGTATTCAATAACGTACTAATATTTAATGCCGCTTGTTTAAATTTAATTAATAATAAATCTTCTCCATTTCTACTATTATTTAAATATTTATTTTTTAAAATATTAAATTCCTCTGTTTTATTTCTATAAACTATTAAAGAAATTATAAAAAATATATAATAATTGTTAATATTTAATAATAATAATAATAATAATAATAATAATAATAATAATAATAATAATAATAATAATAATAATAATAATAATAATAATAATAATAATAATAATAATAATAATAATAATAATAATAATAATAATAATAATAATAATAATAATAATAATAATAATAATAATAATAATAATAATAATAATAATAATAATAATAGAATAGTAATAGTAATAATGTTTATTAAATAAGTAAATGAATAATAATTACTTAATAATGGTTCTTCTTTTATATAATTTGATGTGTTATATTCTTCAGAACTCATCATTTTTTTTTTTTAAAAAAATTTCTTTTATTTGTTTTATTTTATTTATTTATTATGTTTTATTTTAAATCTTTAAATGTTTTTAAAAATAAATGCGTGTATTATGAAATTGTATGTGTACACGCTCACACCTCCAAAATTAAAAAATGTTTTTTTTTATTTTTTTTTTTTTTTGTTTATATTAAAATTTTATTTTTTTTTTTATTTTTTTTTAATTTTTTATTTATCAAGAATAGTTTTACCACACACACAATTCGCTTTTTTTTAAATTTTTAAGTCAATTTTGACCAATTAAACGAAAATTCAAAATCAATTAATTTAATTTTGTTTTGAAGTTGAAATTAAAAATAATTTTTTTTTTTATAAGATCTTTATAAGGAAAAAGTTTAATTGATTCATATAAAGAAAAAGTTTTTTTTTTTTTTTTTTTTTTTTTATTATATTATATTATTTATTTTTTAAACTTTTTAGAATTTTCTTTATTTTTTTGTTCTTCAGCTTTTCTTTTAATATTTTGAGCCATTTCACTTAAAATTGATTTTGATGTTGTTGTGGTTGAATTATCATTTTCATTATTATTTTTTTGTTGTTCTTTTAAATTTTTTCTTCTTTCTAAAATTTCTTTTTCTTCTTTTTCTTTTTCTACTTGACGACGATTTTTCTTTTCAGATAAAAATTCGACCATACCAGATGTTCTTTTGAATTTTGGATCTGTTGGATCTATATCGTATTTGGAAGTGTAAATATTTATAAATCTTTCATCCTTTGTGTCAATTTTGAAGCCTTGGAGATCGATTAAATGTTTATCATCCTTGACCTCCATTTTTTGATTCTTCTTTTTCAATTTCTTTTCTAATTTCTTTCTTTCAATTGGGTCGATAGTATTCATTTTAGCTTCTCTCTCCAATTGTTTCTTTGTGTAACCTTTATTCTTTGAGAGATCATCATCCATTAAAAGTAATTCCAACTCTGCTTTCTCCTTCTTTTCCTCTTCGGTCATTCTACCTTTAGATTTATTCTTTTTTTGTTGTTTCTCTTTCTCTTCTTTCTCTTTAATTAATTTTTCGATTTCAACTCTCTTCTCTCTCTTTTTTTGTGCTTTCTTCTCTTTCTTTTTATCTAAATATTCTGTGAAAACATTACCATTCTCTCTTTTTGCTTTTTCTTTTAATAATTTTTTACCAACATTATTTAAATCTGTATTAATTACCATTTCTTGAACTGTATCATCTTCTGAATCTGATTTTAAATCATTTGCCCAATCTGGTGCTTCTGAATCTGAACCATTTAATAAATTATCATCATCTTCATCGCCTTCATTTTCAGATGATTCATCATCTTCGTTACCTTCATTTTCAGATGATTCATCATCTGCAGAATCAGATTCATCATTAATTGTAGCTTCTTTATCAGACTCTTCTTCACTTGAGGTATTAATTTCTTGATCTGAAAATTTAATTGAAAGACCATCATCATCGTCCTCACTTTCATCATCACTAGTTTTTTGTTGTTTTAAAGAGTCAGAGAAAGCTGAATTAAATGTAATTTGAATATCATCTTTTTCTTCCTCATCTTCAATGCCATCTAATAATAATGATTTATATTTATTTCTAAGTGCTAAACGTTTTGAATTTTTATCATTATCATTAAAATTATTCTGATGACCATCTTCGTCATCATCATCATCATCAGATTCTTCAGAAGAAGTTGGATCAGCTAAATATGCTCTTAAATCCTCTTCTCTTGCATCGAATTTTGAAAAGTTTTTAGTTAATAACTTCTTTCTAGTCTTATCGATATCCCATGTGAAATCTACTGTTGTACCTTTGAGAATTGAAGTTTGAAAACCGAAACCACCATTTTCATCGGATGCTGTAGCAGGTAACTCTGTACAAGTATCTCTTGGAGTATTTTTGAATTTTTGATCATCTGGAATGAATCTAAGATCTAATACATTTGCTGTATCTTCAATTTCCATACCTTCACATTCATCATAGATTTTATTGGCTGTATTGATTGAATTACATTCAACTACTGCATAGTAGTATTTTAATTTAGACAATTCATATTGTCTTAGCTTTTCTAAATTAAAACCTTTACCATCCAATGATTCTGCATCTTCTTGTCTATCGAAACTAATTGAGCTTTCTTTTAAGCCATTATTGGTAATTATATTGGTTGAATCCCAAATCTCTTTATTTGGACCTAAAGATTTTTCACGTGCCATTTGCTCTAAACCGAAATCTGATGGATAAATAGTGATTCTTTCAATATGACCACCTGATGGTACGAATGAATTTAATAATATAAATAATTGCTTTGATGTAACATTATCCCAATCACAATTTAAAACGGCAAATCTTTTAGTTGCATCACCTCTTGGTACTTCTTCTTCTTCCTCTCCTTCTTCTTCAACGTCATCACCTTGAAATTCTTCAGCATCTGAACTCTCTGTATCAGAGTTATATTCAAATCCACCATATTCAATAACTTTTTCTGATTCAATATCTGAATTGATTGATTCATCTTCTATTTCTGATTCTGGTTCTGGTTCTGATTCCGATTCCGATTCCGATACAACGATGTTGGCTTTCTTTTTATTATTTTTATTATCATTCTTTGTTTTAGTTTCTACAACTTTTTTTTTATTGTCAATTTCTTTCTTTGTTGATGTTTTTGGTTGTTCAACTTTTTTATCTTTGTTTAATTGGTTTGATGTTTCTTCTAAGACATATGTTTTTTTAATTGATTTATCAATTTTATTCTTTTCAATTTTTCTACCGTATTCATCGATTGGTGCTATTTTTTTTTTTTTTTTTATATTAATATTTATTTTTTTAAAAAACGATAAAATAAAGATATAAAAAATTTACCATTGGATGTGAATGAACTATTTGATTTCATTAAATCACCAAATCTATTATCAAGTGCAATTGCATTATCTTTTCTTCTATACATTTTGAATTTTGGATCATTTTGAGCATGTGTAAAACGAGTATCTGTAATAGCACTATTGTATGGTTTTCCACTACCACCACCACTACTTTGCTTTGGTTTATTACTTTTCATTTTTATCTCTATTTTTGGTTGAGTATGAAAATAATTTTAAAAAAAAAAAAAAATAAAAAAAGAAAAAAAAAAAAATTCTTTCGTTTTTTTTTTTTTTTTTTTTTTTTTTTTTTTTTTTTTTTTTTAAAATTATTTTCAAATTTGTTGTTTATTTTGAATCCAATAACAAAAATCAAGAGACACAAATTTTACCAAATCAACTATTTCAACAAAAATTAAAAAATAATTATTTTAATTGTTATGGAAATTTTGATTTTGTGAAATTGTTCTCTTTGATATTGTTGCTGTTTCTTGAAATTGGAATTTTTAAATAAGAAAATAAAATTAGTACTTTCTATTTTAAAAATCTTTTTTTTATTATTCATTACTTTCTATTTTAAAAATCTTTTAAAGTACCTTTATTAAACATTTAAATTTTTTTTTTATAAAATATGTTAAATTTGAATTTTAAAAATTAAAATTATAATATTAATATAAAGAAAAAAACCAATAAAAAAAATATAAAAAAAATTTATA